CATCCAGCTCTACACCTTGTTATCTCAGATTCTCCAGCATCTGCAGTTCCTACAATCTCTGCAGTGATGGGTGCTTTGGTCTTGGTTTGAAAGCTAATTGGATGGAGTGGGCCTGGCCTCTGATAAGAGAGTGCTGAAAAACTGAATGCAAATTGGTTCCTGTCCTGGACGGTTTGCTAATGTTTAAGTAGATGTGTATGTTCTTAGAACAGGAGGAAACCATTCAGCCTTCCTGTCTGCACTGACTTTAAACTGCTCTTGTAAGCTGGTTGTATACACTGACAGACACACACTCTGAGACCAGACCTACTCACTCTCACGCATACACGTGCCGTGTTTAGATATAGCACCACTTTGAATTGTGCAGGGATGTTACTTACCACTTAGAACACAGAGCAGTACAACACAGGAACACGCCCTTCGGCCCACCATGTCTGTGCTGACCATGGTGCCATTTTAAACTAATCCCATCTGCCAGCACGTAGTCCGTGTACCCCTATTCCCTGCCTGTTCATGTGTCAATCTAAATGCCTATTAAGCTTTGCTATCGTACCTGCTTCTGCCACCTCCATTGGCAGTATGTTCCAGGCACGTACTACCTGCTGTAAAAAAAGACTTTCCTTGCACATCTCCTTTAAACTGTACCCCCCTCACCTTAAATCTATGCCCCCTAGTAGCTGAAATTTCCAGCCTGGGAAAGAGTCACCAACTATCCACCCTATCCATACCCCTCATAATTTTAAATACTTCTTTCAGGATCCACCCCCACCTCAGCCACCACCACTCTAGTGAAAACAAACAAAGTTTGTCTAATCTCTACTTAAAACTAATAAATTCCAATCCAGGCTATATCCTGCAACCTCTCCAAAGGCTTCACATCCTTGCTAAAGTGTGGTGACCAGAACTGTACACAATACTCCAAATGTGGCCAAACCGAAGACTTGTACAGCTGCAATATGACTTGTGAACTTTTATATTCAGTGCCCCAACCAATGAAGACAAGCATGCCGTTTTGCCTTCTTTGCCACCTTATCCACTTGTGTTGCCATATTCAGGGAGCTATGGACTTGGACTCCAAGATCCCTCTGTATATCCAGCCGTTTACAGTATAATTTCCTCCTGCATTTGACCTCCCAAAATACAGCACCTCACACTTGTTCAGATTAAACACCATCTGCCAATTTGCCTCCCAGCTTTCCAGCTATCTATATTTTGCTGCATCCTTTGATATCTTTTCTCACTGAATTCCAATGCAAATTACCCATTAAGGACCTCACCCATTTCATCTGGTTCCTCACGCAAATTCCCTTCTTTGTCCTTGAGTATATCAACCCTTTGCGTGCCTTGGGATTCTCCTTAATTCTAATTGCCAGGGTCATTTCATGGCTCCTTCTAGTCAACCTAATTTCTTGTATTGCTTTTTTTTATTAACTCATGGGGTCTGAGTGTCTCTGGCTAGGCCAGCATTTATTGCCCATCCCCTAATTGTCCAGAACGCAGTTAAGAGTCAACCACATTGTTGTGGGTCTGAAGTTACTTGTAGACCAGACCAGGTAAGGACATTAGTGAACTAGATGGGCTTTTCTGACAATTAACAATGGCTTCATAGTCATTACTGACTCTTATTTCCAGATTCTTTATTGAATTCAAATTCCACCAAATGCCATGGGTGGAATTTGAACCTGGATCCCTTGAACATTGGCTGAGTTTTTGGATTAATAGTCTCGTGATAATACCACTCGGCTATTGCCTCACCTCCTCTTGTGGCAAAACATTGGAGATTCTAGGCGATCTTTTCGTGAAAAGGTTTCTTCCGCTGTTAATTCTGGAATTTCAGTCTTGCATTTTGGGAAGAAGCTGGACTGTTGGCAAAGCGATGAGCATGTGCACTGCATCTCTACCAACTCTGCTTGCTTCAAAATCATACTGATTATAACAAGTTATCAGGAGCTGGATGTTCCAAACAACTGTTCGTTACAGATAAAAGAACAGCAGGAAACAGTTGCAGAGATTTGCAAATGGAAACATAGCCATTAGTATTAACCATTGCTGTTTATTTCTTCACTTTAACGTGTGAATTGGATAGAACATAGAACAGTACAGCACAGTACAGGCCCTTCGGCCCACGATGTTATGCCAACCTATTATCCTACTAAGATCAAACTACCCTGCATACCCTACATTTTACTATCCTCCCATGTGTTTTGAGAGGTAGCAGCCTGGCTGACTGTACACTTCAGGAGTGCAGTCTTTGTTAGTGGAATGTTTCTGATGGCATTCGTTGTTTAATGCCTGGCAGCAATGTGCATTTCATTCAAAATGAGCTGTAGCAGTTTCATGATCATCATATCAAGTGTAAAAGCTGGTTAAGCTCCCTTCTTGGATGCTGAGTACTTGTAATCTTATGTTTGCATTGTTTTGTTGCTAGAATCTCACCGGCTATATTCAATCTAACAAATCTTAGAATTGAGTTTAAACCAATTACACACCCCCTGTTGTTAGTCACTAACAGTCCCCATTAACAACTACTCACCCTCCCAGCCTGATCGTTAGCAACTCCTTTGTCTGTCCAACTGTCTTTCTCTCTCTTTGGGCTCTATCCTATCGTTTACTCCCTACCCCACCCACCTCCCTATTTTCTGCATACAAGTTGACGTTTTCCCAGCCACCATCAGTTCTGAGGAAGGGTCACTGGACCCAAAACATTAATTCTGTTCTTTCCTTCCCAGATGCTGCCAGACCTGCTGACCTTTTCCAGCAACTTTGTTTTTGTTCCTGATTTACTGCATCCGCAGTTCTTTCGGTTTTTGTTGTTGTTGGGTGAATGTTGTATGTTTGGTGTATGTCAGCAATACTATGCGCCAAATGGTCTATACCTCTGCCCCTGACTTCATCTCCCCCATAGCTCCCACGTCAGGCTGAATCTAATAGACCTCCTCACCATTGATTCTCTGCATGACTTTGAGTTGTGCTCCTTGTTGTGTTCTCTTGTTCAGGGATGTTATAACACACCTCTGGAACCTAGGCCTCCTGGCTCAGAGGTAGGAGCATTACTACTGCACCAGAAGAGCCCTTCTATTCTGTCATACACCATCTATTTTCACTGCACCTTTGCATGATGGAGACTTCCACCATCTTCAGGCAAATCTCTGAAAGTCTGTTCCCAATCCCCTAACTTGAAAGCTGAATTTTTATCTTCAAAACTCTCTGCGTATTTTACTGCTCTTTCTGTCATCTCTCTTACTTTGATTAGTGCATTTGATTAAAGCATTTACTAGATTAAAAGTATTATATCAACGTAAGTTGATTGTAGGAGTAGTGTGTAGGAGTACGGAGTAGGGGAATGGGGCATGATGCCTGTGCTATAAGGCATTGGATGTTTTCCTGTTGCACTTTTCAGTCAATCCATTCACCTTCATTTCATTTTTCCAACATAGAAATGCAGTATGAACATAAGCAGTTGAAACTGGTTCTGAATTTCCGTGGTATATGAGAAAAGATGTACCCACACAGAAAAAGTGAGCCAAAGGCACACTGACCATCCCCATGTCATACATAATGGTTCTTGGAATAAAACGCACAATTTTTTCCTCTTCACACCAAAAATCTTTAACCTTCTTTTAATGCACTGTACCATTTTAATAACGCACCCCTCACTGTTATGGATATTGTTTTCAATCGTCACTTCTTTGTCCTATAGTGTACGTTAATGTGACCATTTGAAATTTGGAATTTTTGCATTTGTCCTGATGAGTGCAGGTTGGAAAAACTTTGGAAACGGGTTTCTCTTTTTGACAAGATTCATGTTTTCCACTATTGTGGGATTGATGTTGTCCTCCTCTGGCCAAGTGGTTATGTCCCAGCAGTGTCTTGTCTGGTGTTGGCTACCCTCATTTGCTGCTTTCTCAGAAATGTTGCAAATGGCTCTGTAGTAAATGAAGTTTATAACTTGTACGTGCCTGATTTTGTTTTTATCTGTACTTTTGAGAAGGCACACTTCTCTTTCTTTATGTTTTGTTAACTAATCACTACGCAACAATTTGCAATCTGTATTTCAGAGATGAACGGAATCAATCGATCATTGTTAGCGGAGAGTCTGGAGCAGGGAAGACCGTCTCGGCTAAGTATGCGATGCGATACTTTGCGACAGTCAGTGGCTCTGCGAGTGAGGCTAATGTGGAAGAGAAGGTCCTGGCTTCGAACCCCATCATGGAGGTGAGATTGATGATAAAGAGGCAATTTAACTAACTAGCTGCTTTCCTAATGGCTAAATCTGAAATATGCTGTGATGGTTCTGATGAAGGTTCTAGGCCCGAAACGTAAGCCTTCCTGCTCCTATGATGCTGCTTGGCCTGCTCTACACCTTGTTATCTCAGATTCTCCAGCATCTGCAGTTCCTACTCTAAACTGAGTTGTCCCTGCTTTAAAAGATTCTGAAGGGGCCGGACAGGGTAGATCCTGAGAGATTGTTTCTGATAATCAAAGGGCCTAAATGTGGAGGCATAGATTCAGGATAAGAGGGACTGATCATTTTAGGACTGAGATGAGAAGAAATTATTTCACAGAATCATAGGATCCCTACAGTGTGAAAACAGGCCATTTGGCCCATTGAGTCCACACTGATCCTCTGAAGACTAACACACCCAGATTAACTACTGGACCACGGTTGTACTTCACTCAGAGCGTTGTGAACTTTGGAGGGTTGTGGATGCTTCACCCTTGAATACATTTAAGGCTAAGACAGACAGGTTTTTGGTCTGTCGGGAAATTGAGGGGTATGGGGAAAAAGTAGAAAGGTAGAGTTGAAGCTAAGGCCTGCCAGGAGGTGTACAACTTTGGTCTTCTTTCTTGAGAGAGGATGTAATGGTACTGGAGGGGATGCAGAGGAGGTTTATCAGGTTGATTCCGGAATATGAGTAAGTTGCCTAATGAGGAGACATTGAGTGGACTGGGACTGTACTGATTGGAATTTAGAAGAATTGGGTCGGCGGGGTGGAATCATATAGAAACATATAAAATGATGAAGGGAATAGAGAGGATAGGAGCAGGGAGGTTGTTTCCACCAGCTAAATTATCCACAGGGATGTGTTGAATATGTATAGAAGGAAATGCAGGGTTACAGGGATAGGGTAGGGGGATGGGTCCGGGTGGGATGCTTTTCGGAGGGTAGGTGTGGACTCTATGGGCCGAATGGCCTGTTTCCACACTAGGGCTTCTATGATTCTATGGTGATTGTATTAAATCAAGAACTCTCTTAACTGGCCATTTGTCTACATCTATTTCTTGTATTCTTGTATTTGCAAGTTAATTTATTGAAACTGAGACAGAGATTGTTTTATTGACCTGGAGCATTTGCTTTAGGGGAGAAAAATCCCACCTTTCGGAAATACACGTTTGAAGAAGAAAGTTATGTACTCAGCCTCCCAAACAGCTCGCTGTGTTAGATTGAACTGCATGGACCCACAAGGCTTCAAGTTTAGCCTCTGGCCCGTGTTTAAGATTGCTGGGCTCGGTTGCTGCAGCATTCAGAATGTTACGGTTCTACCCTGTGCCTTTGGGCAAGGGAGCGGCTAACCAAGCAGATTACTCTCCCAACTGAAAAGTGTGTGTAAGGACAGAACTTGATTTGCATGTGATGGCTTATCAAGGCTGTACCAGCTTTCAGGCAAGGAATGATGCACCATACAACATTGTGCCAGGATTCTGATTGGTATCATGTGGCTATTTCCCTATATTACCAGGGTTACAGGCCAAGTGGGCAGTGCCTCTCAAGGAGAGGAAGCAGAATTAGAGTGCTGCTTTTTTTTTAACATCCGTTTGAACGGATGGTGCCTGGTTTAGGAAATCTGCTGAAAGAGGGAGGGACAAAGAATTGCATTTTTGTTTTGGAGCAATATGTTGTAAAATGGAGGCAGACTAATGATTTTAAAACATGTAAGCATTTTTCTGGCATCACGCATGCTTTTCTCTCCTGAATCCATTAAGTTTGTTTTAAGATTGATCTGGTTACTGAGTAATTTGCAATAGATGTGCACAATTTAATTGCATGAAAGAAATCGTCATTCATCAAGCTGCAACCTGTACCCCAGTGAAAGACCATATGTTTTTCAAGAACTTGCAGCCGCTTTCAGTATGGACTGACTGAGACTCTTGATGTCCTCCAGTTGTGCTGAATTATCAAACAGTTCTCAGCTGCCCCTCTTAACCTGGTGCAGAAATTCCACTGGAATTGAGTGCAGAGCGGTGCAACTTCAGATCACTAGGGAAAGATGTTTTCTAAGCAACCTTGCTCCGAGATGTTGTTATACACCTCTGGAACAGGAGGGACTTGAACCCAGGCCTCCTGGCTCAGAGATAGGGACACTAGCACTGTGCTGCAAGAGCCCAAATCATTTAGGAAACTTACAGTAAGATAAATTACTCCAGCTGTTTTGGATTAGGTTGTGCCAAGACAAAATTGGACAATAATATTTTGCACATACTACTGTCTGTTTTTGAGAGACTGATTTTCAAAATTATATTATTCTTTGCAATTTATTGTGTCTCAGTATAATGACTAAACTAATGGACCTGAAATTTCTGCAAATGTCCAAACTCTTTGAAGAACTAATCAGTTCTGTTCTGATTGACTCTGTGTATAATTCTGCCAGCGTTTTCATCCAGTTTGGCATTAACATACAGGTCTGCCCAATCCTCTAATGGTGGCATGATAAAGTTTGTCCTTATCAGCATTGGTTAACCAATCATTTTAAGGTGCATGTCTCTTTTTGCTTGGCAGTCAATTGGAAACGCAAAGACGACCAGGAATGATAACAGTAGTCGATTTGGGAAGTACATTGAAATTGGGTTTGACAAAAGGTATCGCATCGTTGGAGCTAACATGAGAACCTACCTGTTGGAAAAGTCGAGAGTTGTATTTCAGGTATGTGCTACCCACTAATCGTGCAACTGTCTAATGAGAGAGAGCAACTCTCTGATCTTCTGGGACCAGATTCTCTGGTGTCTTCAACTCTTTGGTCCTCTGGGATTATTGTATCTTTATACAGTCATATGCCTAAAAGATCTTTTGAAAGTATGTAGATAGGGACTGCATGTATTGTGCATGTTGACAGCTTCCAGTAATTGTTGAAAGTAGTTTACTAGCACTTTAATGGAAAGTGTTGGGATTTTTGAGCCACTACACAGGATGATTTGGACTATAATATTGATGAAGGTGGAAACCACAGCTTCTGGTCTATTAAAAGCTGAGAGAGCCTGTGTTATCCTACTGCCACTACTTGAGTTCACCTCTCAGCATTTACCATTTTTAAAAATTCATTCATGTGATGTGGGAATCACTAGCTCAGCCAGCATTTATTGGCCATCCCTAATTGCCCAGAAGGCAGTCAAGAGTCAACCACATTGCTGTGTGTCTAGAATCACATCTGGGCAAAACCAGGTAAGGATGACAGATTTCCGGCCGTAAAGGACATTAGTGAACCTGATGGGATTTTCCTGACAATCGGCAATGGATTCCTAGTCATCATTAAATTCTTAATTCCAGATTATTATGGAATTCAAATTCCACCACCTGTTGTGGTGGGATTTGAACCCAGGTCCCTCGAACATTACCTGGTTCTCTGGATTAATAGTCTAGCAATATACCGTTAGGCCATTGCCTACTCCCTAAGATGTCTTATCTCATATCTGAGTTGTTGAGTGTAGTGCCTTAAGGAGTTGAATCCTCTGTTAAGGGGAAAGGGGGAGTGGTGGGTGACAGACTTTCCAGGCTGGTACTGATCTATAAAGGTGGCTTTCCTCCTTGTTCACTTTGCGTCTCTTGGGAAATTAGGCACGACAAGTGACTGAATTAGCAGTGGGAGAGTACTTTGGGGCCGGTGATCATAAGTCAAAAGTCAAAGTTCTAAATTGGAGTAAAGCCAATTTTGACTGTATTAGGCAGGAGGTTTCAAAAGTTAACTGGGAGCGGCTATTCGCAGGTAAAGGGACAGTTAGAAAGTGGGAGGCAAGAGTTTAGAGACAGTATGTTTCTGTTAGTGTGGAGAGGCAGGTAGGTGTAGGGAATACTGAATGACTAGAGAAACTGAGGTCCTGGTCAAGAAAGAGGAGGAGGATTATGTCAGGTATAGACAGTTGGGACCATATGAATCCCTAGAGGGGCACACGGGCAGCAAGAATATACTTAAGAAGGACATCAGGGGGGCAAAAGGGGGTCATGAGATAGCTTTGGCAAATAGAATTAAAGCGAATCCAAAGGGATTGTACAAATACATTAATGGAAAAGGAGTAACTAGGGAGTGAATAGGGCCTATCAAAGAACAGCAAGGCTGTGAATGTGTGGAACCAGAGGAAATGAGAGAGATACTAAACGAGTATTTTGCGTCAGTATTTACTGTGGAGAAGGACATGGACGCTAGAGAACTTGGGAAATAAATAGTGACATATTGAAAAGTGTCCATATTACAGAGGAAGAGATGCTGGATGTCCTAAAATGCATAAAGGTGGATAAATCCCCAGTACCAGATCAGACGTATCCCAGAAATTTGTGGGAAGCGAGTAAAGAGAATGCTGGGCCCCTTGCTGAGATATTTGTAGCATCGAAAGCCACAGGTGAGGTGCTGGACGACTGGAGGCTGGCTAACGAGGTGCCTTTTATTTAAGAAAGAGGGTAAGGAAAAGTCAGGAAACTATAGACTGGCGAGCCTGGCATCAGTGGTGGGTAGGTTGTTAGAGGGGATCCTGAGGGACAGAATTTACATGTATTTGGAAACACAAGGACTGATTAGGGATAGTCAACATGGCTTTGTGTGTGGGAAATGGTGTCTCACTAACTTGAAGAAGTGACAAAGAAGATTGATGAAGGCAGAGTGGTGGACGTTGTCTGTATGGATGTCAGAAAGGCATTTGACAAGGTTCCACTTGGTAGACTTGTTAGTAAGGTTAGATTACATGGAATCCAGGAATAGCTAGCCAATTGGATACAAAATTGGCTTGAAGATAGGAGACAGAGGGTGGTGGAGGAGGGTTGTTTTTTGGACTGGAGGCCTGTGACAAGCGGTGTACCACAGCATCGGTGCTGGGTCCACTGCTTTTCATCATTTATATGAATGATTTGGATGTGAGTTTCGGAGGAATGGTTAATAAATTTGCAGATGACTCCAAAATTGGAGATGTAGTGGACGGTGAAGAAGGTTATCTTACAGTGCAATGGGACCTTGATCAGATGGGCCAATGGGCCAAGGAGTGGCAGGTGGTGTTTAATCTAGATAAATGTGAGGTGCTGCATTTTGTTAAGGCAAATCAAGGCAGGACTCATATAGTTAGTGGTAGGGCCCTGAGGTGTGTTGCTGAACAAAGAGACTTTGTGATGCAGGTACACAGTTCCTTAAAAGTGGAGTCGCAGGTAGACAGGGTGGTAAAGAAGGTGTTCGGCACACTTGCCTTTATTGGTCAGTGCATTGGGGGTAGGAGTTGGGATGTCATGTTGTGGCTGTACTGGACATTAGTTAGGACATGATTAGAATACTGTGTTCAATTCTGGTCTCCCTCTATAGGAGAAATCTTGTGAAACTTAAAAGGGTTCAGAAAAGATTTACAAGGATGTTGCCAGGATTGGAAGGTTTGAGCTATTGAGAGAGGCTGAATGGGCTGGGGCTATTTTTCCCTGGAGCGTCAGAGGCTGAGGGGTGACCTTATGGAGGTTTATAAAATCATGAGGGGCATGGATAGGGTAAATAGACAAGGTCTTCTTCCCGGGGTAGGACAGTCCAAAACTAGAGGGCATAGGTTTAAGGTGAGAAGAAAAAGATTTGAAAGGGACCTGAGGGGCAACTTTTTCATGCAGAGGGTGGAATGAGCTGCCAGAGGAAGTGGTGGAGGCTGTGGTACAATTACAACATTTAAAAGGCATCTGGATGGGTACATGAATAGGAAAGGTTTAGAGGGCTGTGCGGCAAATAAATGCTGGCAAATGGGACTAGATCAGTTTAGGATGTCTGGTTGGCATGGATGGGTTGGACTGAAGGCTCTGTTTCTGTACGTTATAACTCCATGGCTCTGAGTGGCAGTAACAGACAGACTGCTGTATACTCCCAGCCATGTGATTGTGGATGGCTAGAACAGGAAGTGTTAATGGGGCTGGGAGGTGCCTCATGATTACATATTACTGCACAGCATTTAAGAGCAGGGAGGTTATACTGCAACTAGATTCAACTGTGGTTAGGCCACAGCTGGAATATTGTGTGCAGTTCTGAAATTCACTTATAAGATGGACGTAACTACACTGGGGAGAAGATTTACCAGGATGTTGCCTGGGCTGGAGAGTTTCATTTATGAGGAGAGATTAGACGTACTGTGATTGTTTTCCTTAGAGCAGAGAGATGGAGAGGGACATTATTAATTTAAACATTTTAATTTAATTCATTGATGGGATGTGGGCGGCTTTGGCTAGGCCAGCATTTATTGCCCATCCCTAATTGCCCAGAGGGCAGTTAAGAGTCAGCCACATTGCTGTGTGTCTGGAGTCACATGTAGGCCAGACCAGGTAGGGATGGCAGTTCCTTCCCTAAAGGATATTTTAGTGAACCAGATGTTTTTTTTCTCCCCCAACAATCAACATTGGATTTGTGGTCATCATCAGAGTGTTAATTCCAGATTTTTACTGAATTCAAATTCCACCATATGCCCTTATGGGATTTGAATTGGGTCCCCAGACCATTACTTAGTTCTCTGGATTAACATTCCAGTGATAATTCCACTAGACCATTGCCTTCCCATCCTCCCCACAATGACTGAGAAATATAGAGCTATGAGGGGCACAGTCATGGGTGGACAAAAAGAAACTTTTCCCCATGATGGAGGGATCAGTGACCAGTCAGCACAGGCAGAGGTTTACATGGAATGTATAGAAAACCATTTCCCCCAGAGAGTGGTGCGAATCTGGAACTGACTGCTTTTAGAAGTGGTAGGGGCAGAAACCCTCATAACACTTAAGGATTTAGATGTGTGCACTTGTGATGCCAATGCATACAAGACAATGGACAAAGTGCTGGAAAATGGGATGACAAAAGTGAGGTGGTTGTTTTTGACCAGCATGGATGCGAATGAGCTGAAGGGTCTATTTTTTGTGCTGTCGATCTCAATGACTATTACTAACTGTATCTGCATACGCATCTTGGGTGTTAGTGATATCCTTACGGTTCTACTTTAAAGCTATACACTTGAGATTTGAATCTGACATCTGCCTTCTCTTCCAGGCTGAGGATGAAAGAAATTATCATATTCTGTACCAGCTGTGTGCCTCTAAACATTTACCAGAATTCAAAACTCTCAGGCTGAGTATGTTTACCATTATTTTCTCACCTTAAACTTTGAAATCATGAGCAGAGAAACTCTGGCTCATTCTTAAAACTTAACAGCAAGTTTTTTTTATTTGTTAATGGGATGAGGGCGTCACTATCTAGACCAGCATTTATTATCGATTCCTAATTGTCCAGAGGGCAGTTAAGAGTCAACGACATTGCTGTGGGTCTGGAGTCATACATAGGCCAGACTGGTTAAGGATGGCATTTTCTGTCTCTAAAGGACATTAGAGAATTAGATGGTTATTCCTGACAATTGACAATGGTTATCATTTGACTCTTATTTCAAGTTTGTTTTTTCACTGTTGAATGTCATGGTCCAATGTAATGGGCCCAAGTAAGGTGTTTTTCATATGAGTCATGTAGCGTGACTTGTACGATTTAGGTTCCTTCATTATCTGAGAAACCACATTAGAACCCTCTACCACATCAAAACTAGGGCAAGAGATTTGATTGAGCCTGACATTCTGTAACAAACTCTGCAGCTTCCAGTCGCTTGCTGCCCCGTTAGCCCAGACAGTCCCGAAGCAGTGCAGACCTCTGTTTCTGAAAGGAATAATACGACTTGCTGCAAACAAATTTATTGCCATTGCTACGTGCTCCTTTCTGAATTGCTTTTTAAAGAGACTCGCTTATTGTATTAGCCTGTTTGGAACAGCTTATCAAAATGTTTACTTTTCTTGAGTACAGTGTATCACAATCAAAAGCTGTTTGCCTCCCATTACCGATGTTGAGGATTTGCATCCACACCACAGTTGATAGAGAAAAAACTGTTTCTTCAACCAAGGCAATAATCATTGTCATTTCAGTTTGGGTTTGGAAGCTGCCCCAATGACCTTGATTATAAAACCCAGGTGGCTCATCCCACCCATTGGAATGAGCTGGAGAGAACTATCTGAATTATTATTGTACATCAATTTCAGTTTGTGGCTCTGGTGCACGTTATCTTCCGAATACATTTTTTGAAAACATTTTTCCCAGGAGAAAAATATCATGCTAATTAACTGTACTGCTAATATCTATTTGCTTCCAGGCAGTGCTCAAAACTTCCACTACACAAATTTGGGAGGCAGTCCTGTGATTGAGGGAATAGATGATGCCAAAGAAATGATGAATACCAGACAGGCTTGCTCTTTACTAGGTAAATATACAATATGTTTCATTGATTTTAATCTCACATTTCAACTTTTGATTCTAGAGAGTCAGATTTGGCTATTAGTGCCTTTTGAACCTCTTCCTCTCGAACATTATTCGAATGGAATTCTTGCTGTGTTTGTTTGTGATGTGTGTGTCATTGGTGTGAGGCCAGTGTTCAATGTGGATCCCTGGTGGTGAGTCACCACCTTGAACTGCTAACAGTTTGGTTGTATGCACACCCACAAAGCTGCTAGGAAGGGAGTGCCAGAGTTTTGACTCACTAATGAGGAAGGGACAGCGACATTTTTCCAAGTCAGGGTGGCGTGAGGGGAACTTGTAGATGATGGTTTTTCCATGTCTTGTTCTAGGCAGTCATAGTTGATGGTTTGTTTGGGAAGTGCTATTGAAGAAGCCTTGGCAAGTTGCTGTTGTGTCTCATGTAGAAGGTGCACACTTACAGCCACGGTGCCCCCTAATGGCAGGAGTGTGAACTGAAGAGGGTGGCTGCGAAGTCCTGGATGTTCAAGCTTCTTGAATGTTGTTGGAGCTGCACTCATCCTGGCATCACTTCAGACGACAGTGGATAGTTTTAGGGAGACAGGAGGAGAGTTAATCCCTGCAGAATTCCCAGCCTCTGATCTACTCTTGTAGCTGCAGTATTTATGTAGCTGGTCCAGTCAGTGATCCACATTGAGCAAACTAAATAGCAGTCAGCATCTTGCAGTGACAGCTGTTTTTAATACTTGTTCAAATACTTCATTCATACAAGTCGTGCTCTGGGCTTCTCACACCACACTTACTGCTTGTTTAGTCAGTCAGTCAGGCAGACAGTGCTATTGAAATAAGTCAGGCTGCTTTTTTTTTCAGGTAGGTGTGAGCCAATGTCAATTTAGCTTGCTTTTGAAAATTGTGTACACTTCCTTGAAGAGATTGCCAACCTTCGCAGCTATCCAGAATGTCACATTATCCAAATTATTTTAAATTGTTACTTAAAACTATGCTGGTACATTATAGTTAGAAATACTCGCTCAATTTTGAAATATCCTATTGGAAAGGACGATGACTATGAGAAAGAAAAAATGTGCTTTCTTCCCTCTGAAAGTAGTCTTTCATTATTCTCAGAATTTTGAGATCAGCCAAAGTGCCAGAATACCTGATACAATATTATTTCAAAATGTTCCCAAATGAAAGTTTGCAGCTTGAAAGGTGAAATCATGTTTGTGATGTTGGTTTGTGCCTAGTTTCTTTGTCTGCTATTTAATGGGACCATTAACCAATTCATTTTAAACTGTAAAATAAGATTAATTTGTCAGCTTATTTCATGGTACAGGATTTCACTTTGGACATGATGCTTATTTTCAAAGTAACCTGTCTGACAAAGTCCCTTTAAATGTTTTGCAGGTATAAGTGATTCCTACCAAATGGGTATCTTCCACATTCTTGCAGCAATTCTTCACTTGGGAAACGTGGCAATTAAGTCGAACGAGCGTGATGCTGACAACTGCTTTATCCCTGTGAGTATTCCCCAATATTGGATAATCTCTGGAGTTTGTTCAATTTGTTGGGATGTGGCCACAGTAAAGGCTGCAAGAATGATAGAAGCAAAATACAGAGGATGTGGAAATCTGAAATATAAAAAAACAGAAATTGCTGGAGAAACTTGAAGTGCCTAGCAGTATTTGTGGAGAGAAATTGAAAACAGCTACTGTCATCTTCCTTCAGAGATTCAGCTTTTGTGTTCATGGGCTGCTTGAGGGATTTTCTGAAGGCTCTTCCTGGTTTATGTGTGATCAAAATTCTTCATTCGAGATGGAAGTGTGTTTGTATGCAATTTGGCCATAGAATGAAAGAGGGAATGTCTCAGATGAGCTCAATTCCGTTTTCACCCAATGTCCACAAGAATTATTCATTCAAACAGGAATCTGGATGAGGAACTATCAGCAATTCACACTTGCCTAGTGCAGGAATTAGGGTGCAAAAATACAGGCCATTCAGCCTGCTGGTCTTTATGCTGCACACAAGCTCTTTCTAGCCCTCTCCATCTGCCCAGAGGCCATCATCTCCCAATAATGGGTTGCACGTTTAAAACGGATGAGGAAGAATTTCTTCTCTGAGGGTAATGAATCTATGGAATTCTTTCCTGCAGAGGGCTCTTGAAACTAGGTTGTAAAGTATGTTCAAGGTTGATTTTTAATCAGTAAGGGAATCGAGGGTTAAGGGGAGAAGGCAAGAAAGTGGAGAAAATTGTCAAGTCAGCCTTAGCTTAATGAATGATGGAGCAGATTCGATGGGTTTGAATGGTCTACTTCTGCTGCTGCATCTTATGGACCCTTCATCGTGATTATTTGGCTTCCCCTTAAATGTATCACTGCTAATTGCCTCAACTACTCTTTGCAGGAGCATGCTGCACTCTCTAATGTAGGCAGTGGAGTAATGTTACTGAGTCTGTTATCCAGAGGCCCAGACTAGTGCACTGGGAACAAGGACTCAAATCCCATAGCAGCTGGGGGAAGTTTAAGTTCAATTAATAAATCCATAGTTAAAAGCTAGTGTCAGTAATGATGACAACTAATGCCCTTTTGGGAAGGTAATCTGCTATTTTTTTTCCCCCAATTCGGCTGAAATGTGATTGCAGACCAACAACAATGTGGTCGTCTCCTGAATAAAGAAGATGCTGGAGAAACTCAGTAGGCCCAGCAGCATCTGTGGAGAGTGAAAGATGATTCTTCTCGAATGGAAGAGGTGTAATAAAAGAGATGCAAGGGAGCAAATACATAAGGTGGGAAGGCCAGTGAAGCAGAGGATGTAGGAGATTAAAGATCACAAATGTCAAAGTACAAAAGATAAATGGAGTGGTAATGATTGTGGAGAAGCTGAGGTAAGGATATAGAGAGTCGGTGTTAATTGCACAATGGAGGTGAGTTGAGCTGAAAGCAAAAATATGAGAAGCAAGGTACAGACCTGGGGAATTGGGGTGTGTGTGTGAGGATAATCTAACAAAATGAAGCACAGAGTGAAGGTGGTGAGTTCTGAAGTTGCAACTTGCCTACTTTAAGTGGAGACTGAGGTGCTGTGTCCACCAACTGGTGCTGGGTTCCAATGGAACACTGTGGCAGGCCCAGGGCCCAATAGTGAGCGTGGGAGCAAGATGATGTATTGAAATGCCAAGTGACTGGAAGCTTGCGTGGGTCATGCTTGCAGACTAAGCAGATGACTTGCACAATGCAGTCATCTAGACTGCATTCGTTGACCCTACTGTAGAGGCGGCTACATGTGAGCGACGAACGCAGTAGACGGGACTAAACTAATTACAAATGAATCGTTGCTTCAGCTGGAGAGGAGTGGTTTGGTCCTTGTTCAGTCAAGGAAGGAGGTGCTGAAAAAGCAAGTGTCACACCCTCTTGCAGTTGTGTGGGATGGTGCCATAGGATATTGATGAGGCCTTGGTACATTTCCTCATTGAGCCTTAGTGCCCCTCCAATCCATTGTCCTGAACCTTGGCATGTGCCAGTCTTCAACACTCAGTCATCGATACCTCTTTGCATTGGATGACTGGGAATTTTCAGCCCAAATTGATGTTCCTCCAGCAGCAGATGATGCCTGTCTCCATGTATCTTCCCTGGGAACAGCCCATAGGGCCCATGGATCTTTGGTTCAGCGCTGTTTCATAATATTATTAGGTCATCCTTCTGTCCTCTGTTTCTGAGGGAAAGCATTCCTAACCTTTTCAACCTTTCCTGATAGCTATCAGCTATCAGTACCACAAATTTAAATGCAAACATCATGCAGTTTATTTCTTTCTGACTTAATAAAGTGTGCTGATGTTGGGTAAAATACCATAAAGTCATTCTTTTCCTTCTCTGGATATTTATACATTAAAATAGAGGCAGAATATAAAAGAAAATGTTAACCATCGAGGTTAGAAGTTGTCTTTGTTGATCATTCATCTTGTGTTTGATATTGAAGTCCACTCTTATCAGCTGTCATTTCCTACAAGCCAATTGCAACTTAAACGTACTGTTTCTGGTCCTTCTTATGATTTGAAGTTTAATTGATGTACAAAGATGGTCTCCCCCTACAGCATTTCCAACCTCTGGCTCACTGTGCTGACAAGTACTAAGGAAGGATTCATGATTAGCATTCAAATAGTAACTTGGGCTAGCAAGATGGACATCAAAACATACTAGAATTCATTGTCCTCAGTGTGTTTGGAGTCATTTTGTCAATTCACAGGACAAAGCCAAGCTGAGAGAATCTTGGTAGCTTGGCTATCTACTGTAAAGTATTGGCAGTTGATTTATCACTGCCTGTGGCAGGTAGCTGAACAATGCTCAATTATTTAGTAGTTATAACTACAACTTGTGCTTATTTGTGTGTATGCTATATCTTTTATAACCTTGTCCAGTTCTACAGCCCTGAGATTTCTGAGGTCCTTCAATTTTGGCCTCTTGTACAACCTTAGTCTCAATGCTCCACTATTGGTGGCCATCAGTTGCCTGGGTTCTAAACTCTGGAAACGCCCCCCTCCAAAAAAAAGGTTCAGCTCTCTTCCTAGCTTTCCTCTTTTAAGGAACACATTAACCACCTGCCTCCTTGTTAAAGTTTTGTCCATCTTGCCGTTGTATTCCCTTATCAACTCAATATCGAAATTTTATTTGGTAAATACTCCTGAGAAGTACCTTGAGGCATTTTACATTGTGAAAGGTGCTGTACAATACAAGTTGTTGTAGAATAATAAAATGTACCAGAGCACTTCAGCAGTGCAATCAAAATAATTGGCATCAAGTTAATTAACAACATATTGAAAGACCTGACCAAAAGCCTGGCCAAAGAGTGGTCTTAAAGAAAGATCAGGAAGAGGATAGGTGAAGGAGTTTAAGTTTGGGATTGAGAAAACATCAGGGATGTACGAAATACACATCTTAAAGCACAGGCATCAGAGTTTTGGTGTAGGGAGGGATTAGGGAGATGTAGGGCTAGAGCCTGTACCCAAAGAAAAATGAGAATTTTAAAAATTGGCACTCAATCCCTGGTGCCACCTGTGGAAATGATGGATGATCTGGATCAGGATAGGACCAGCAGAGCTTTGGGTTGCCAGAAGGTTGGGAAGGGTGGATGATGGGTGATCAGCCAAATGATTGATCTCCTCTGAAGTTTACATGGATGATGGTTTTGGCAATCAATGGCCATTGGTAGGGGCAGAGGCAGGTGGTTTTAGGATGGGAGGATGGAATTGACTGGTTGTGTGACGCAGGCTTGTGTCGGAGGCTCAAGCTGGGTGTAATTAAACGCCAAGTTTTGAGCTGCCCCACTTAGCTGGAGAAAGTGAGCTAAGAGGAGGGCAATTTGGAAATGTGCTTGTGCTTGGGACCAAAAGACGAGGCTTCAGTCTCCAGTTCCATTGGAGGAGATAGTGAATCATCCAAACAACCGGTGTGAGAGTATGGAAATAGGGGAGAGATCAGGAGAGGTTATGGAGAGGTGAAACTGATTATCTTCAGCAGAATGTTAGGAGCATAAGGATCTTGTGGCACCATGGTAGTGGCTCTACCTCTGATCCAAAAGATCTGCGTTCAAATCCCATCTGTCCCAGAGGTACGTTATAGCATGTTTGAGCACGGCCCATGTTGGGGAATGATGTTGGCTAAGGAATAGCCAAGGGTTGAGAAAGTGGAGGAGGCCAAGAACCGATCTTTGCGCTGCTGATACTGTCTCTATGATCACTGAGTCACAGATTGACCTGTTTCTGCCTGGTACCTCTCTCCTACTCCCATCTCCAGGTCCCAGTCTCTGTCCACATGCAGTAGTGCCGGAGTGTCGACAAATCAACATGCATGAAAATCAAGCAGCTTCCTGTTTGTTAAGACACAATGGTTGACTGAATATTTTTCTGCATGGATCAGGGACTTCTCTTAAGATATTTTGGATCAGTAGTATTGGCTCATTCTTGGTTTCCTCTTAGACATGAGAGTTTATGGTGTCAGTCTGAGTTTGATAATCTAGAGACTCCAAAATGGTGAAGTCTGAACTAATATCCACAATTAAAGAATGTGTTTGACCTCTGTTGCAGCTGTGATTCCATTCATAATTAGATCATTTAAAATCAGATAAAAGCACCCTTTCAGAAACTTGGTCCTGCTGGAGAATTATTTGAATATTGTGCATAGTCTGGAATAGTTCTCGGCGAAGACCCTCAGCATTTTGCATCTGCCACAGTCCATGAGATTGCAGCAACATTTTCATTTGCCTATGATTTTCTGAGTGGCAGTTTATTGATGAGAAAGGGAATATTCATCTGCATAACACCTTGCCTCTTTATTAAAATGTTGCATTGAAGTTAAGCGATAGACATTTTGCACAATGTTACTCCCTTTAGAATAACATTAAGGTTTTTGCTGCTTATTTTCTTCTTTAATAATGTGCATATTTTCTGAAACTGCTCTAAAACATTGAGAATGGTTTAAACAGATGTTGCATCACCTTTACGTGCTCAGATGTAATTCATATTATTTGGTTCAAGGATGTGTTGTCCCTTATATTTGTGTGTGTGTGTGAGAGAGAGAGAGAGAGAGAGAGAGAGAGAGTGAGTGAGAGTCCTTTATGTGGCAATCTTTGTACTGTGTCTGCCGCTGACATGTGCACATAGAAAATAATGTACAAATATTCCTGGTTCAAATATGCAACCGTGTTCAGTAAACATTGCCTGCCCAGAGTTTAATTATGCAAATTAAATAAGTGGATTCCAAATTATACCCAGGAAGAATATTACATAATACAGCATTTAGAAAGAAAAGAACATCTTATTTATTTCTAATGTTATTATAGACATACCTAATAGAATTGATGTATGGCCAACTAAGTGTCACCCGAGCTTCCAAATGTCAAGAAGACACTTTTCTGTATGTTCACATCAGGCATTTCCCTGCTTTGGCTCAGTCCTACCTAGTCTTCAGACTATGATGAAAGTTGCTTTTGCCACAACCTTTCCTACATTCCTATATGTGATTGTGTTTAATAGGCTTTGTATTACTACACCCTCATGTGACTGCTGCATTCCATAAAAGGAACATTGTTGTCTTGTAACATATCTTGTAACATTGCTTCTTTCAGCCTGGGCCTATATCATTTACATTGCACTGTGCAATGTTGGTGCTGTTTCTGTTTAATTTTCAAGTAAATTGTAAAAGAAAAGCACCAGCCTGGGATCAATGGCAACTAACCTGGAAGATGTTAGATATGCTGTTGATTTCTAGAAATGCTTTCTGCATTTTATTTATTTATAGCCCGCAACTATTTTTTTAAATGAAGGGATCTGGGTTTGGACTAATGCATTATATGAAAATCAAAGTTTTACTGGAGAAATTTCAAGCTTAGCCTCTGACTTGTACATTGATCTGTATGTGCAGCAATATGGTTCCCCACTTCAAGCAGTCTTTTGTTATGAGGTGTGTAACTTCTATAAACGTTTGCGTTGGTTTGAAAGATTGGATTGCATTGAAATCACATTGTGAAACATTAGTGCTGAATAGATCAGCTTATTCCTTGGAAACTTGTATATCTGCTTTTCTAGTGAAGTTTCTAACTTAATCAAGGGTGTTTATTTTAATTTGTTATACTGACACTAATCATAATTAAAAATTTGTTGCTAATATCGTACAACGCAACCTTTTATATTCTCCACATATTTAAAGACTCTTAGAAGACATTCAGTGGAATTATATTTACTTTTATAGTAAAAAAATATTCTGACTCATCCATAAAAAACAAAAATTGCTGGAGAAACTCAGTAGGCCTGGCAGCACCTGTGGAAAGAGAAACCGAGTTAATGTTTCGAGTCCAGTGATGCTTGTTCAGAACCACCAGACCTGTTGAGCTTCTCCAGCAATGTCTGTGTCTGTTTCAGACCTTCAGCATCCGCAGTTCTTAGTTTTATCACAATAGGGTCAGTCTAGTGACAGCTGAAGGGCTGTTTCTGTTCTTCAGTTACAAGATCTGCCTTTGGAACTAAAAATCAAAAGAACTGAGGATGCTGTAAGTCAGGAACAAAAACAGAAGTTGCTGGAAAAGCTCAGCAGGTCTGGCAGCATCTGTGAAGAAAAAAAAAGTCAGAGTTAACGTTTCAGGTCCGGTGACTTTTCCTCAGGACTCAGAAGAAGGGTCACTGGGACCCGAAACGTTAACTCTGATTTTGTTCCTTCACAGATGCTGCCAGACCTGCTGAGCTTTTCCAGCAACTTCTGTTTTCGCGCCTTTGGAACTAGTTCCTTTGTATTACTATTTGTAGTGCACATTACAGTGCTTGAAACCAGTGATGGCTGTGCATAGATAGGGTAGATAGGGATAAATCTTGCCCCTTAGAAAGTCAATCATGAAGGGCCACAGCTTTGAGGCTGTGTCACTGGGTCCTAGTCTCTCCTACTATTGGAAACATCATTTCTATGTCCACTTTATCCAGGCCCTCAGTCTTCTGTAAGTTTCAAGCAGACTATATGGGGCTACAGGTTAAATGATGGATATGAGATAGAAGCTTGAAAACAGGTGATAGGCACAGGACCCTTTTCCACACTGTAAAAACTCTGATGCTTTTTAAAGATTGAGACTGTGTATGTCAGCATGTCGTTTACATGCGCCTTTATGAAGAAAAGCTGGGCATGGCTTGCATTACTACTGTAATCAAACGCAACATTAATTAACATTCCTTCACCCAAATAACACACTGTTAACACACTATAACCTGTTAACATTCATTCCCTTTACCTAACGTCCTGGGGTGTTTTAAAGTGGGAGTTTAAGCAATGACAGGCTGTATTCCCTAAAGATATTGTGTGTCACATCCTGTTTTACCATCAATATCTCTGAAGGTTTTGTCAATTGCAGATCATTTATGCACATCAGGAATGCAAACAGATGTCAACTGACACAGAATACAAAAGATATAATTTCCAATTTATATGCCAAACTTCAACTAAAGCCTTGGTAGGCTTTAAGTTTATTTGGCTTAGTTCATGGCATTCATAAACAATTTCGCCTTTAATCTCAATATTAAGATTATCCCCTTCCAAAAATATCTTGGACTGTAATCCTCCCAGAAATAAAACTTCAACTAGAGATTTTAGTCATTTGACCTGTCAGCAGCCCCATTGGTGATTTTAATGATGATGTCTGAATTCTGTACACAACAGTCTCTCTGAGACCAACAAGTTAAAAGTGCCCTCTGTTGGTTGATTTAGGAAAGGCATTGTGACTAGTCTGAACACCTGAAAAAAAGGATCCTGTTATTCCCCTAACTGCGCATTAATTCTAAACAAATTGTCCACAGGTTAGGCAAATAGATGATTGACTTATAATTCCATAGGTATCAATGCTACTTGACACTAAGTTGTTTGTTGCTTCTGAACTTGGCCACTGTCTGATGGAATACTTCAATTATTTTTAAAGGGAAAAAAAACAATTTACCTGCTGGTGACCGTGTTCAGCGCTGCTGTTGGTCTTTAGATCCATTTTAGTCATGTAGAGGAAATGCCGCAGGATTCTACAAACAAAATATTTATGCGTAATTGTTCTGAGTTAATAAGGATAGGACAGGAAAAAGATAAAAATGGAAGATGAATTTAGCAATCTCTGATGCCATTCTGTATCCCATCGTAATTTGAAACCAAAACAGAAATTGCTGGAGAAACTTAGCAGGTATGGCACAACCTGAGGGAAGAAAGCAAAGTTAACATTTTGACTCTGTTCTGATGAAGAATCATTGGATTTGAAATATTAACTCTGCTTCCTTCCCAAAGATGCTGCCAGAGTTTCTCCAGAAATTTCTGTTTTTGCTTCAGATCTGCAGCATTTACAGTTCTTTATTTTACCTAATTGCAACTTGTTTTCTTTGTATTTGGTTCAGTGCAGGAGCTGAATAAAGCACCATGTGCATTTGTACTCCTTGCTGAAACCCATACCTTCCATGTGATTGGAGAGAAACCAAAACAGAAATTGCTAGAGAAACTCAGGAGGTCTGGCAGCATCAGTAGGGAGAAATGGAGTTAACGTTTCGAGTCGAAGCCAGTTCTGTAGAGGAGTTGTATCAAACTTGAAACATAGACACTGTTTCTCTCTCACAGATGCTGCCAGACCTGCAGAGTTTTTCCAGAACCTTCAGTTTTTATTTCAGATTTCCAGCAATGGCGCTATTTTGTTTTCATATGATTGGCAGGGGTTTGATGACATACAGGTTTAATAATGCTGTTTTATGTCTCAGCTGACTGGTGTTAAAGAGAAGTGAGCTGACCAAATTGCACAAGTTGATGGTATTTTGGTTTTCTGATTCCGCAGCCAAACACTGAACACCTGATCATCTTCTGTGATCTGCTGGGCGTGGACTATGAGCAGATGTCTCACTGGCTGTGTCACAGAAAGATTGTCACTGGCTCAGAGACCTATATCAAGCCCATGCCCAAATTTCAGGCTATCAATGCCAGAGATGCACTGGCAAAACATATCTATGCCAGCCTTTTCAACTGGATTGTACTCCATGTCAACCAAGCTCTACGTGCTTCAGTAAAACAGCATTCCTTCATCGGAGTGCTGGATATATACGGGTGAGTAGACTGGTCTACTTTAATTTTCTCCTGGAGATATACACCTTGATTTTGAAGCATAGCATCAGGTTGATTCCACTGCAATGTTCTACAATTCACATGAAATTCCCTGCTAGAGAATGAATTCCCTTACTGACAAGAGTAAGGCAACTTAGTGGTCACACATGGTAGTAGTTTACAATCTGTTCTGTAATGTAGTTGTAAATAAGATTTTGATTCTGGGTGGTGTGCATGGGGATCTCCATTTAAAATTGATCCTGCGTGTTTCCAGGATATGTGGATGAAGCAAGTCAAGGAAAGTAATGCAGGTTGATGCCACATTTAGGTGAGAGCAGGTAAAGATCCAAAGCCTTGGTTAGGTGAGGTGAAATTTTAAAGAAGAAAGAAAAGTTTTTGAAGAAGGTGAAGGAAGTTCACTATGATCATCGCCTTCTTGGTTCACCCAACCACAATGTCTGTTGCTTTCTGACTCTTCCGTTTCAAAAATCCTTATTAGTTTCTCCCTTACAGCATTCTGTTGTTGAGCAAATACTTTTGGATATTTGACCTCCAGTACAAAGTCTGGAAATCCATTCTATGTTTTTTTGATCATTCTGCTGTTTTCATTTGGTACCAACTTTGATTTCTACAAACATAAACCCACAGGTCATTAATTTACTCTGGGAATCCCTTTAGGGGCGGTGGTAGTGTAGTGGTAATCTCACTGGTGTAGTAATCCAGAAGTCCCGATGAATTCATGGGTTCAAATCCCAACACAGCAGCTGTTGAATTTGAAGTTTGATGAATAAATCTGGAATATAAGCTGATCGCAATAATGGTGACCACGTCATTAAAAACTCTCTGGTTCATTCATCTATTTTGTAGAAGGAAATCTGTCCTTTTTAGCTGGTCTGGCCTATGTGTGACTCCAGACGTACACCCATGTGGTTGACTCTTAACTGCCCTCTGAAATGATGTTGCATGACATTCAGTTTGGAGGCAATTTGAGATGGGTAGTGAATGCTGGCCTTGCCAGTCATGCCATCATTGCGTAGAAGAGTAAAAGACCATTTTGGTGAAGGTTGTTTGACAGACTGTGTTTCTATATTGTCAGCTATCATGTATACAGCAATGCTTCTTGCATTTATGTAACACTTTAATCATAACTTATTAAGTATCTTGAATCATGTACTATTGATTTGACGCTGAGCCACAGATGGTACGATCACAAGTTGATCAAACAATAGGTTTGAAGGTAATGAAGAAGGGGCCCTGGCAGCTGATGCATGGCCTTTAGTGATCAAGTTATCAACACTGGGGGAGCACAGTGATTTCAGATTGTTGTGTTAGAAGAGGTTAGGGTGAGGGGGACTGAGGAATTTGAAAATAAGGATGAATCAATTAAAATTGAATGGTTATTGTACTGTTATGGTTACCACTTAGTTGCCTGACGTTAGACATGAAAGCTCAATTTTTTCCAGTCTTACTGTAAGCTCAGCAGCCATACGTAATAATTGAACTGTGGCCTGTATGATTTAAAAAAAAAACTTCCTCAGACATGTTCTGTGCTCTGGCTATTTAATTTCATATTCCATTGGCTCCTTGCTGCTCTGCATTGGTCACATATGTTGACTGTCATGCTATTCTAAGACTCCTGCATCGGTTTTACCACCATCCCAAGCTGACACCACTCATTTAGCATGTCCATTTTTCCTTTTTGTGTGATACTTTACACTTGTAAACAGTGTCTGTCATTGTCTCACCCCCTTGGGTACTGTATCCAAGCTGTGTTGTAATTGATGGGCTCCCTTAACTTGCCCTGCCACATCTTGTACCATAGTTTGAAGTTTCTCAGATGTGACTGAATTGGGTGAAGTTTGTGCAGGTTCACAATTTGTTTCTGCTGAAAGCTAAAAGAAATGGAAAACAGATGTGCTATAAATCTATGGTGTATTCTTGAAGCTACATCATACTTGAGCATTGCAACTTTATCAAGCTTCATAGAGACTCTTGTGTTTTATTATGAAACACAAACATAGGAGTAGGAATAGGCCATTCAGCCCTTCTATTCTGCTCCACCATGAATATGATGACGGCAGATCATCCAATTCAGTACTTGTTCCCATTTTCTCCCATCTCCCTTTGATGCCTATTGTCCCAAGAACGCATCCTGATTCATAGTCACATCTTAAACAGTCATTCTCTCATATGCACGTTCTAAAGAACGTCATTAAAGGTAATTGTTTTGAATTCTGCATAGTTTACATGTTTTGTGGATCTGAGCATTTCTTACAGTACATGACAGAATGTTCTTGAATCTGTTTCTTACAACCATGAATTGCTGCTGTTTTCCTTCTCAATCTGACAGAATTGGTGACCAGTTGGTGGGAGTGTGTGTGGTAGCCTGCTCCTGAATTTCTGTAATTGCTTCCTTTTGCCAGCCGTTGGGAGGGTGAGACCATCACTCTGTTGACACGCTCCTGTCTGACAGCTCCAAGTCCATTTGCCACCTCCCTGTGCAGTCTGGTAGTGATAGGGGTATAGGCATCATGGGAGATAGAATCAGCTTCCTCCCTCTTCACAGTTCTGAGTTAACGCTGTATTGCCGTGGCCCCCTTCACTTTGTCATAATATTTTCAGCAGACTACGTTGGCCAGTTTGAATACGGTGGTTTCTAGAATAGTTGATTAATCTGACGTTAACACCAAGTGGGATAAAGCTAACAGACCAGGCTCATAGAGTCATACAGCATGGAAATAGACCCTTCAGTCCAAATAGTCCATGCCAAACTAAACTAGTCCCACGTGCCTGCTCCTGCCCATATCCTTCCAAACTTTTCCTATTCATGTGCGTATCTAAATATCTTTTAAATGTTGTGATTGTACCCATATCCAGTACTTCCTCAGAAAGTTTGTTCCATACGTGAACCACACTCTGTGTAAAAACTTTGCCTATCTTGTCTTTTTTTATTCTTTTCTCCTCAAAAAATGTGCGCCCTAGTCTTGAAATCTGCCATCCTAGGGAAAAGACGACTGCAATTAACTCTACCTATACCTCTGATTATTTTATAAACTTCTATCAGGTCACTTCTCAAACTCCTACGCTCCAGTAGAAAAAAGTCCCAGCCTACCCAGACTTTCTTTACAACTCAAACCTTCCATTCCTGGTAAATCTCTTCTGAGCCCTCTCTAGCTTAATAACATCCCTCCTATAACTGGGCGACAAGAACCGACACATTATTCCAGAAGAGGCCTCACCAATGTCCTTTACAACCTCAACATGATTTCCCAACTCCTATACTCCAAGGAATGCTTTCTGAAATCAATCTGATTTATTTTATTTTCAGAATTGAGTTTAAGTTGCTTACTGCATTTAATGTTCTGAATATTTATACAGGTTTGAGACTTTTGAGATAAACAGTTTTGAACAATTCTGCATCAATTATGCCAATGAGAAATTACAGCAGCAGTTTAATATGGTGAGTACTTTGTCTTAGTTTCTTGGTTAGTGTTAATATTTTTATTTGTGCTGATCTTTATGCTGTTGGCTGTGGGGTTCGCTATTCCCCATGGACACTGATATTGACCAAGTGATGTTTTATTGGCCATCTGTTAAGAGTGTCCTTTGGTTCTATGGAAGGCAGTGGGGCTGGATGTTGGTCAGTTAGCGCAATGGTCAGCGGAAAAACTCGGTTTTGTGCTTTAATTCGGGTGGAATTTCTATCGTTGTGATGCTTGAACTGTAAACATCTAGAGCAGATTCCCTAAGAAACCCAACAACCAAGGAAGCTTGATTCACTGAACAAAAGAAATGGCAGCACCGTGGCTCAATGGTTAGCACTGCTGCCTCACAGCGCCAGGGACCCAGGTTCGATTCTACCCATGGGTGACTGTGCAAACTCCACACAGACATTCTCCCGGTGTCTGTGTGGGTTTCCTCCTGCAGTCTAAAGATGTGCAGGTTAGGGTGGATTGGCCATGCTAAATTGTCTGTAGTGTCCACAGATGTACAGGCTAGTTGGGTTAGCCATGGGAAATGCAACGTCACAGGAATAGGGTAGGGGCCTGGGCCTGGGCCTGGGCCTGGGTGGGATGCTCTACGGAGGTTCAGTGTGAACTTGATGGGCTGAGTGGCCTGCTTCCACACTGTGGGGATTCTATGATATATGTTGAAGGCAGCTGCTGCTCTCTTATGGGTTTGGAAAGTGGTTGCTGATAGAAATTGAAATAAATGATTTACCCCTCAGGAAGGAGTTTGTTTGAATGCCTACATTATGCAGGATAAAGGTGGCGAATGTGGAATCAGATCAGCACAGCCTGCACCAAACTGGAATGTGCTGCTGAACTGTCTCTCCCTGTTCCTGTTTAGGAGCTCACCCTTCACCACCCTTCTCTGACCTCACGTGGATTAAAACCGCACACATTCAGTACATGTTCTTTCCAGCTCCATTCGCAAATGAAACAAATTGACTTAGTGTCCAGGTCTTACAGCAGCAGAGCAGCCAATATCGAGGACGATTTTGTTTTTAACTTCAACATTCAGACTACTTTCTGGGCTCTGTGTTTCTCCAGCTCTCCATTGAAAACGTGCAAAGCTGGATGAAGTCAGAAACAGTCAACTGCAAACTTGTTTCAGCTCAACTAATACTATTTCTTCTACAAACAGGAGGATCTGATGTTTTTAGTTGCAGTGTGGAGTGGCGAATTTTACTGTGTAATGCATTAGCTCCGAAGCATTTGGGTATTTAAGTGCTTGTGTGACTGACAAGCTGCCAGTGTTACCAAGCATAAAAACACAGAAATACTAGTTTTTATGGAAGTTTCTCAGATTTTATAAAAGTTGTCGAGCACTGCAGTTTAGAATATGCCCTGGGTCCTTCCCATGAATTGGGGAACTTGGAAGTTAAAATACTGCGCAGTTTGGACCCAGGGCATATCCTAAACTGCAGTGCTCAACAACGTTTATAAAATCTGGGCAATAAATGCTGCCTGGTCAGCGATGCCCACGTCCTGTGAATGAATAAAGAAAAAAAAAAGTTGTGGAAGCTAATTTTTTTACGGTCTTAGAATGGACACTTCATCCTGGAAGCCATTTTTAATAGGGTTTTAAGGGAAGCCTGCACAAAACTTGGTACTGATGAAGGAGGCAGGCATTGGGCTCGTTCTGCTCTGGATTCTTCAACAGTCCCCATGAGCGTCAATGGAAGTCCTGTTCATTTTGGGGGGAAAAAAAAGTGCCTTCCTTTGGATCCAGAAGGAGCTGCCACTATCTCCTGGGGATCAGCCCCTACTCCGTTGCTTCACTCAGCCACCCATCCCTGAACTCCCCCTAAAACAGCCTGGGGATCAAACATTCATTTCTCACGGGGTGGGGGAACACTCCCAAGTGTCGATAGCTCCCTTAGAAATGCAGATAAGGCTTAGTTTCGGGCCAGTCTGCTACCATTCTTATCCCTTAGGGCCACATGTGAGAACAGGCTGGAACTGATTTCTGCTGCCTCTTATTGACAGTCTGTTCGTATTAACTTAGTAGGAATTTGTGACCAGTCCTTGCCTGCTTTCCTATAGCTGAGTTCCACAGTAAGCAGTAGATACGAAAGTCCATGACCAGTTGCGGAAGGTGCTAGAATTTTGATGTTCACTGGGTCGCATAGGTTTTATACATATTACTGTTGCCATTTCGGTGTAAGTGAATGTTGCTGAGGGCTTATCTCCCTATACTGGCTCACAGATACAATCTGAAATAAGTGTAGTACATGGGCAAATAATGATGGCTACAACAGAACATCTTCTGATATCTGCAGACTAAATAGAATCATAAAAGCTGCCCTGTATAAGTGCTTCAGAGATAGTAGGAACTGCAGATGCTGGAGAATCTG